ACTATATTTGAAAATATTCGTGTCAGGATCCTTCATTTATCTGATTTCAGACACAAAAATGTTTAAAAATATATTTTTTATCCATTAATCTATTCAAGTGATTACCTATATAAACTTTTTTAGAGTTTTGTTTACCAACCCACCTAACATAAACAAATATTATGATTCAGGTTGGTTTTATTATATTATGATTCAGGTTGGTTTTGAGCTCCTAAGAATGAGTATAGATACTGAGCTATAATAGGTGCAATGTGACGTGAAATTGACAACAACTTGACAAATGGCCATTATTGCAGCAATTTATGAAGCAATTGCTCAAAATGACACTAAAAAGGCTTTCCCGGCAGATACTCAGTTTGAGTAATTCGTTTAGGCAGAAAGTTCAACCAATCAAGCAGATTGGGCCCAGTGTATCAATAAAACTTTATATTTTTATGTACAAAGTATTTGTAGTGCAATTTTCAGTGCCCGAATTCTGCGTTTTTTAGATCATATTGAAATCACATGTAATTTCTTTATTATTATCATACTCTAGAGATGAAAATGGCCGAGACATAAATTTTTTCAAGTCCATGTTTTAATAATTTTGGAATGGAATTTTCGAAAAAGATGGTATCTAAATATCTAAACCTGAGCTCCGCGAAAACAAGTTTAAGTGTATTACATTGCGGTAAGGTTTCTCAATCACAAAACTTTTTCTCAGTCAAGAGAAAACCCCAGTGGGTCAACAAACAAACTCGAGAAGAGTTCGAACTCGTCGAGTTGAAATGTTGCTTTACGGCCTCCGTACAGCATGATTCACAAGCCTGTTGTAAATCAGGGGTTCGAGCGTATCTTGTTGTAAATATCATTCGTCAATAATGTTAATTAATGTCATAGTAATTATTTAATATTCAACATTATCATTGCGAATGTCAAATAAATATTATTATAATTACTAATGACTGATTACAAAGAAAATTAGTCATTTTTTTAAATACCAGAGGACTTTTTTTCATACCGATGACATTGTACATGTACCAGATATATCAATAACAAGTGAAATATGAGAGTGAGAAATGATATGCAACCGCAATCTTAATTCTACTTCAGTTGAAGTATGCTGTGTTTGGTAAACATTTAACAGCGTGAGATCATGAATTAAAGCCCGAAAATTCTATGAGCGTTAAATCTTAGTGTTAGAAACGAGATGTCATGTGAGACTTAAAAGTGATGCCTGGGAGCATTGCACGATTAAACTTACGGCACAACTCTGCATCATTCAGAGTTACGTCAACACGTATAATGGGAGATCTATTGTCAACATCTATATGTTGATATATTTAATGATCGGAATATCGACGCGGAACTGCAATGACAAATTTTTCGCAGACTTTATTATTATTATTATTATTTTTAATATTATTATTATTATTATTATTATTATTATTATTATATTATTTAAACGCCTCTGAAACCTGCATACAATATTTTAGGTGTTCGAAAGAAAATCATCATCTATATCAGCGGTAACTATTTAATTTTAAACATGCAATTCATTGCAAATATAAAATTATTCATTATTATTATTTATCAGCGGCTTCGTCGGGTCCGGGATCAGCTTCAAGATTCGATAAAATTTCTTCGAATGATTCCTAAGTTGCGACTGAATTTTCGAAATAGTTTTTTAGGATATGCAGCCACTCACAGGAAGTACACGCAACCAATTCTGTTCATTTTAAGCGCGCATTAATCTATTATATAGTTCAAACTACACGATCAGTAACATATGTAATATTGTGAAGTATTAATACGTGTATACGCTTTAACAGGGACTGATATTTATTCAAAAGCCTCACACGACTAACCATATAATACTCCATTCCATCAAATAATTCAATAATGTCAAATAAAGACTCGGTGCCAATTGTATTTATTTACAACTAATTTTTTTGACAACATACTTTCTAAAATTTTGATCACTATGTAATTCATAGGGATTTTTTATAACAACTTATTAATAGTGAACTCATAATTTTGTTTACCTCACAACCTGCCTCACATCCCTAGAACAATTTCAAACAATTCTCTGCTATTAAATTACCGATCCATGAAGCGAAATTTTCGGACCGACCAGAGATGATGTTGGCGACAGCAAGCCTCTCGTGAGAGCCTGCGAACACCCATACCGGGCATGCCGGGCTTCAAATTATACCCTCATATAAATGCCTTCCGAGTCACGTAACCTTTTCAAGTGCCACAAAATGTACAGCAAGTTTAATGTTTCAGACAAGAGTGAAATGATATCCGGATAACAGTCACCAGTTCTATAGAAAAAAAGAGGCAATAGAGAAGCTAGTCTGGGAATCACAAGCAACAGTGTGGAGTAACACTCTAGCGAACACAAGCTCCTCGGCTGAAGCTTTGGCTGCGAATGAGAGCCTTGCCCTTACTACACCTCTCAACAGCTGGCCTATGCAACACCACCATCACCCTGCAACCGTCGTCGTCGTCGTCACCACACATGGCCACCAGAAGAGTTCCCTCAGCGAGCGTAAGTTCGTAACCTGAATCGGACCGACCGAACCGACCGACCGGACCGACCGACCGATCCAATGAGCAGGGAAATGTGCAAAGGTCATGGCAGAGAGAAACGCTAAAAAGAGAGAGTGGGAGCACAAAACTTTACTGCATACCATTGACCGTTCCACCATCATCGATGTCGTTCAAAGAGTGTCATAATTCAGGAGAGAGTTAAAAAATTTTGACCAAACGATATATACATTTTTTGAGAGCTAACAATTCAATTATGGCTGAAGCAGGAACTTAGTTTCATGCAGATATAAGTAAATGAAAATGACTACAAATTTATTCATTTACAATGAATATGCAAATTTTTGGGAGCTATTAAGATAGATTTACGAAAAAAATAAGCAAGAAGAGTACAAAAATCAGTGGAATTGAAACTTGGGAATTATTGATAGGTAATGAAGCGCAAATACAAGCAATGACCACAATCCTGTTGAGCAATAAGCCCTGCCTGACCGCTGACGGCTAATGGATACCCAAGAACTGCTCATTATTTTTGCGTGTGAAGCTATACCAGCCGAGCCTTTCCTCTTCGTCATTATTTTCAGCTTATTCATTGGCCTTACTCTTTCAGTTCCCTAGTGTCCAACAAGAGCAAAGAGCTCACAATGAATGATCTCGGATGTCGGAAAATAAGAACTCTGAGTTGAAAAATAAATTTCAAAATTAATCGCGCTTATCATGCGTCATATTTGTGATGATGCATACATTTATTAAGAACGCATTACAAGCTCTCGCGTTCAATGCCATGTACATTGCTGGCTTTGAATCAGCTGTATTATTATTTCAATTGCTTGTCATATTTGCGTTATGTTATGTCATTAGTAATTAATTTCAGTTACTCTTGTTTCGCGTATTTATTGCCAACTCTTCCTTAGTCAAGTCACGGATTGCCAAGTCTTCCTTATTTCACAGCAGTTATCTTAGTTATCTTACGCTTACCGCATAACTTGAAATCAACAAGAATTAGAGTTGTCATTGACTTCACAATAATCGTGGCATCAAGAATATAGTGGGACTAAAAACGGTCGCAGCACAAAAGAACATCGTGGCGTTCAACATTATCGTGACGCTTCTAATCATCGATTATAATGACTTTATCGATCGTTGTGGCACTTACAGACATTGCAACTCTCACGATAATCGAGGAAATTACGATCACCGTAGCACGTACGATAAAAGAGGCACTCACGATCATCGTATTTATTGGGATCATCGTACCACTCGCGATCATCGTACCACTTGCGATCATCGGACCACTTGCGATCATCGGACCACTTGTGATCATCGAACTTGCGATCATCGGACCACTTGCGATCATCGGACCACTTGCGATCATCGGACCACTTGCGATCATCGGACCATTTGTGATCATCGGACCACTTGTACTTACGACTGCCCGAAGAACTGGCCCCTGAGAACCCGACTGTAGGCCGCGTAGAATTTAACAATCTCTATTAACAATCTCTATGATATTTATTTGGATTATTTATCGGAGCTGCTCGTTTATTATAAATGAACAGATTGATCTGATGAAGTTCTTCATTTGAATTATTACTGAAAAGTCATGAGATACTCTGTAAATATATTCATTCCAAAATTGATACTTATTTAGCCAAACACTTCTAGAGTTTTTAGCAATATTGTAGATCATGTTTACAAATAGTTCTGTACTGAATTTAAAATCAACGACATTTCGATTTATTCTGCCTACTAATAAGGTTTAAATATCAAAAGGATAGAAAAAGATGGCGTTTGATAAAATATTTAAAACATTGCCGTATATTTTGAAACGTTATTTTGTATTAACATGATTCTTTCAGCTAAAACACGATAACAATTTTCATTCTTGTTAATTATAAGACCTTCCTTATTTACACATATTCTCCTACTCATTTTTAACCATCCAACCGTTTAAATTTTACTTTCCTGTATGCTGCCTTTTCACTCTCCTTTCTCTCCTCTAAACATTCCTCCTCTACTGACCACCATTAACCTTTTTCACTTCCATCTTCCTTTTCCCCATCACACCTCGCAATTCCTTCTCACCTGTCAACAATATCCAAAGTTGACACGTTCGACATAGAATAGAATAGACTAGAATAGAATAGAATAGAATAGAATAGAATAGAATAGAATAGAATAGAATAGAATAGAATAGAATAGAATAGAATAGAATGGAATAGAATAGAAGTGTCGGCACTGAAGAAATAGGCCCATGGCCTGTTGCCGATTCTTGAACTTTTCGAGACTTGATTCACAAGGGATCCGGCCTTTGGAACCCGATCTTTCCATAACTGACGATTGATTGAGATAGCTGCTGGACTTATTGCCTGGTCCGTAATTTGCTGGGCATTTTAAGACTGAACATATACTCCTGCATAGCTTCGTCTGGACTTATTGCCTGGTCCGTAATTTGCTGGGCATTTTAAGACTGAACATATGCTCCTGCATAGCTTCGTCTAGTCTGTTCTTGAAGGCGTTTCATGCAGTCATTACGCGGCTTGCAGGGCAGGGACTCAGGAAATTAACCTATATCTCCCAACAGTTACCTATTGCCTTCCTGTCATCTTCTCCCGTTCTTATCTCTCCTCCTCGCTTACCCTGTGCTTTCTATACTGAAGTTACCCAACTCCAAAAGTCTGCCTATGAAATCGCCCCAGATGGTCTGCTTCGTTGTTCTAATCTGATGGTCTCGCAAAGTGTCTCTTCCCAAGTTCTCAAACGTTACGTCTCATCTGAAGGTCTGAGGTCTCCTCTGAAATTCTTTCCGAGGATCTTTGCCTAAGGTCTGCTTCGAAAGTCTCCCCGGAGGTCTTCCCGAAGGCGTCCCTGAAAGACTCCTAGTAATGCCGGAATCTAAGTCCTTTTTCTACCAAAATGTAATTTAGCCCTCACTTTTTTCAATTCAAAGTCTTTAATTATATTTCTTCATCTTGCAGTGGCAATATTCATTTTCGCACCCGTCGTTCCTTCACCTTTGTTCATTTTCTTCCTTCTCTCTCTCAACTCAGAATTTGGCCAATGTTCATAATTTTTTCATCCTATATTTTTTCATATCATATATTATATTTTGAGGATTTCCTGACACTCTTTCGGTAAGCGATCTATGTGCTTATTACTAGAAGATCGCCCTTCGCAAGCGTTCAATAATTAAATATAGTAATCCAGCTGTTTTAAAAATGTAATTTTCGACGTTTTCGTATTGTAAAATGACGATTGTGACTTTGACGATGCTCATTTTTCTCTTCGTTGTATTATTATTCGTAGCTTTTCTGCTCCCTGCCTATCCGTTCCAATGCCCCTTCAATTATTTTTTCTTTCCGATTCAAGTTTCTTTCTTGTTCCACATGTCGAGCCGCCAAAATCTTCTGCTTAAATCAGCGGGTCGCTGAAGCCTTAAGCCTTCTTCGGCCCCATTGGAATTTCATCGCCCGGGAGAGTCGTCTGCCTGACCAATATAAGGGCTCACTCAATGGATACCAGGTCACCGAATAAATACGAGGTCACTCAATGTATACGAGGTCACCGAATGTATACGAGGTCACTCAATGTATACGAGGTCACCGAATGTATACAATGTCACCGAATAAATACGAGGTCACTCAATGTATACGAGGTCACCGAATGTATACGAGGTCACCGAATAAATACGAGGTCACTCAATGTATACGAGGTCACCGAATGTATACGAGTTAAACGTATGTTTTAAGAAGACTCTATATAAGGGGTTACAGTTAATATAACGGGTCACTGAATATAAATGAGGTCACGGTTTATATAATAGGTTACTGTTATTATTGGAAGAAGTGGATGTATACGGGATCACGGTAAGCATAAAAGGTTTCTTTTAATATACGAGCTCACTGGGTTTATACAAGGTTAATGTATGAATAAGTGTATAAGAAGAGGTCGCTGAACGGATACGAGGTCAACGTGAACATAAGTAATCACTAAAAAAATAGAGAAAATTTTCACTGTCATGTTACATGCATCTTGCATCAATAAGTAAAATTCAATACAATATATTACAACTTGTGTAAGAATAGAAAAAAAATAAATTTATAATTCAGGGGTTTCCTAACAATTCAATCTTTCACTCATTAGGTCGCAATTTATGCTCTAAATTACTACTGCCAAAATTATTTTATTCAAATGCTAGTAAACCGCACTTGAAGGTAAGTTCCACCGTTTATTTCAAATTGAATTACTACCCGGCAATTGCATTAATTCGATGCTGCAGCAAAATTTGCTCCTGTTTTCAATCCAACCTATATTACTAAATAATTTATTTTAGCGGTGAATATCGAAACGATAAATAAAGTTATAGGAAAGCCTATATGACTAAAAAAATACTTTAACAGTAAATATTTCATCAGAAAATAAATTAAAATAAGAATAGCCCACCTTGCATTGCACCTCTCCGCCGCCGGCCACCAGAGGGCGCTCACCGAACCGTGCTCTGATGGAGTTGATGTTGCTGCTCAGCTCGATGATCTTGTGGTCGTCGCGCCGCTGAATCATCGATGATTCTCATATATTGAGTGCAAAAATTTCATCCAAATATATCATGATGTTATTTTATAAAAAATGCCCATGCCATTATAAAATGATAACATAGAATTATAGAATAGAATTTCAGGTTTTTCAACTATCTATTTCTCGTGTGACGGGTGACAGACACTTCGTGTGTATTGATGAAGCAAAGATTGATATACTTTAGTTTGAATACTCACAATTCATAATGGACTCATATCCAGTAAATTTTTAATCGAATGTTACTCTTTGCATATGTTTATGTAGATATGCCATGATTTATTTCTTCCCATTGATAATTTATTAGTATTTATGCCTTTTTATTCATAGTCCTTTTTCTCCATTTCCCTATCGTTATCTTAAATTTTCTTGTTATAAATAATTAGAACGTAAAAATTGAATGTACAGGCATCACAAATAAGAACATTAAATGCTCACAAACTTTAAATCTATTTATCGGTGCAGCTTAATGATTAAAAGAGTTAGGCACGACTTTAGATCTATAGCTTGATCATTCCGAATGCAAATCGTAAACTACAATTTTTCTCATTACAAACTATCAGGAAGTAAAAATGTCCAGACTAGTATCAGAAAAAATACGTGAAAATCTCTCGTAATTTAAAATATTTTTATCGATCCGCCTTGAAGATTTGTATCGGTGTGCCTTGAGCAAAATAGGTACGCGTTTTCTATATTGATAGCTCGTTTGCTCCATGTCCACATCATTTCACCATAAAAATTACATCAGTAAGTAGACAGTTGCGCGAAGTGGCATAAGAAATAAATGCCAAAAAATATCTCGTAACTCATAAGATTTGTTATCAATGTTTCATGATTCAACAAAGTACACCAAGAGAAATGAGTTCGGATTGTCCAAATAATGAAAAACATTTCCTGCCTTTGTGGTGCTGGATCAACCTGACCCTGATGTCTGCTCGTATTGTGGAGAGAATTAATGAGCATCATTATTAGGACGATATATGAATATGTGGGACGATATGAATTTACATATCATACTTACACTCATCAATGTAGGACGACAAAACCCACTAATTTAATATAACACTCAGGTTCACACACAATGCAAATAATTAGATGAACTAATTATTATAACACTCAAGTTCACACACAGAGCAAATAATTACATGAAGCAATTGAAATAACGCTCGACAAAACCCACTAATTTAATGAGTGTAAGGCCCGCTTGTCACCTGGTAGAGCATCTCTCCTTCGAAGTGCAGGAACCCATGCTTCCTGGCCCGCAGCAACGTGCCTACGAGCTTGTCGGAGATGTTCTTGTAAATCTGAACAAAGAAACATACAAAGACTACTTCTGATATTGATTTTCGTTATTTCTATAGATAGATTACTATCCTTATAAGCCGAAAACTTAATAAATTTATCAAATAAAAATATTTTTTTAGCTTTAATCATCAAACATAGCGCATATAAAAATTATTTTATAAAAAAATTAAATTCGGTTTTATTGGCTGCAATTGATAAACCTTTTTATCTTGCTTTCAGTTTGCTCAAATTCATGTTTTTCACTAATTTTTGCGTCTTACTATACAATTCATTCATGAAATGACTTTAAAATATCCCTGTTCGGATGTTTGAGATGCGGTTAATTTCTATTTGAATAAATTAGGTTCTATTGAGTAGATCACACAGCCGTGCGAAAATTTTTATATTTTCTATTAAAAGGATCGACTACGATAGCATAAATTTACATAAAGTAATTTATTAATAAATAGGAAGAATAAATCCTGAAGGAATAAGTAATTTATCCTTAAATAGGAAAAATAAATATTTACAATCAAATAGCAAAATTTTCAGCAATGCGAAGCTGCAGAAGAGCACTATAAAGACAGCTCCTATACTCACGCTAAAAAGTCGCCCAAAAGTTATTGCGGCAAAACCGTCCTTGCTTTTCCATTCTGCACACTCGAAGATCATGTAGCAGAGATGCCTGCAAAACTACAATGGTATTATTATTCAATTCAACGCAATAATTGCTTAAGGTTTGTCGTTGCTTCATTCGCAAACTTCCTGATGATAGGCAGTGATGACATTTGTGATAATGTAATAAACCAGGAGCAATGGTGTGATTATGAACTTCGATTCAATTGCATTATATTGGCCTATTTACCTTGTTTTGGGTTTATTGAAAAATAGAAGAATGTTTGCCGGTTGAGTACATTCATCTATTCGAACACGACAAATAATTCACTTTTTTGCACCATGAACAGAAATAATTTGAGTGTTTTCCTCATAAGAACATCTACTATGAAAATTTTCGCTTGAAGAAATTTAAAATTGATAGAATTACAATAATAAATAATTCAACATATTTATTCAACATATTTCGGGTTCTTAGACTGGAATTCCAGTAAATTTAACAATAATTTACCGTATTTCAGTCATGATGCTAAGCTGAGCCTCTCTAGCACGCGCCGCTGACTTACTGTTGGGGTCTGGCCTGAAAAAAAATCGCAGAAAACGTTAGCATAGAAAACAGTCCAGATGAGTAGAAAACTACAGGATAGTGTTGGTCCGGGCTTAACAATACGAACAATAATTCGGCGTCTATACCAACCTAATTGCCCTAGGTTATTATTTTTCATTAGCGGAGCTATTGTTATGTTCTCTGCAAGATATACCTGAATTGACCGAAATTTGCAGTGTTTTCTCCATACATTAACAGTAAATTCTAAACAAGGTCATAATTTATCAAAGAAAATTAAGAGAATGCAAGTTCAGTTTACTTTTCACAACGAATATCAGAAAAAATATATTATATTCTCTATAGACACCATCATTCACTCACATAGTTATATCTATAACATCAGCACACAACATGAAATTAAATAGCCGATCTTAACATTCGACAGATATATGATTTACCTGCCGTAATTTTCTGAGTATTTCGTTAACTTATATGTACTTCCAGGCCCCTGCCAGTCGCTGAAGGCGCAGTTGCTCTGGTAGTCTGCGTGTTGCTTCACCCGCGCGTTGAACTTGCTTGTGAGGCTGGACACTCCGTCGTGGAAAAGACGCAGCGTCACCGGCATTATTCAAACGATCGATTCTCCGCCACCCAGATTTTAAATTATAAACTCTGCAAGGAACCGTGAGTTCATTTCCATACTATGATCTTATATAAGGTAAATCCTTCTTAACTTACATTATTATTTTATTTGTTATGATAAACAATGATAATTAATTGAATTTGTGTTATTAAATTTAAAATTTGAAGCTTAATGAATAATTTAAAAAATCATTTGACGCGCAAAATTTTTCGTGGCTCACTGCAGCATTTCACTTTACTTTTCAGTCTTAGAATAATTTCAATTCCTGAATCGCACTCAAAATTTATCGTTCCCTTGATAATTGATTCTACAATCACCGCTTTGTTATTGTTGTTAAATTTACGCAAAAAAAATTGTTCACACAGATTTTGAATGGCATTGAATTTGAATACTTTTTCAGCATTTAATAACTTGTTTGTAATTGTCTAATGCATCCATTGATCCAATAGCAATTTCCGTGAATGAAATTCTAACTCCGAATAAGATTTTATGTAAGCCTTATGCAAATAAAAGCACATTTTTACATATGCTTTTACATACATAACATACATACATATCTCACATAATATATAAATAAAATTCTTATATCTAAAGGCATATATGTATAACAAATCTTAAGTAAATATTATAAGCAATATTCGAACTTCAATTGGTTGAAATGGTGTTTTTATATGAAAATTCTTATAAATTGTATGGTACATAAAATTATTTATCCTTCATTAGTTAGAAGTGTTTCAGAATAATCAATCTCAAAGTCATTAACAATTATGCAATTATTATATTTACAGGCAGTGTGCACCACCTCTGTAGTAAGATTCTGCAGCGTAACTAAGTAACGGCGGTTGCTCTGCCCCGAGTTACTCAAGACATGAAGATTACCGGTAAAAAATATGCGCGGAAGATGGATGGCCAACTAAGTGCTACACCATGGCCGCCTTAAACACAGCTATAATTTGTAGCAAAGGAACGTGTCATTCTTGCCTTGCGATAACATGGCTAGTGGCTGCGCCTCCTGGTCTCAAAATTATCTTACTATTTTTTTTTGTCTGTTCAATTTTTAGCTCTCAGGTGTTAGCCCGGCCTATGTATAATAATTCTGATTAGATAAACTTTCTATTTCAAGCCTCCAAGTGTCAGTTTGCACATTGCAGCTTTGAATTCTGGCATTTCAGTTGCGTCTCCCACTACAAGATTAAAGGTACACTGTCTATTTTGAACGCCCGCATCATCCCACCATTAGATTTCCCTTCAACATTGTTTGTCGCACTTGATGCCTTGACTTTTGCGCTAAACGATAATTTATCTCTACTAATATGTCGAAATTTGGCCTTCACTTGTTATACAACTTGAACTTTTATTAGATTTAGCATTAATTAGCATCAGCGGATAAAAAAGTTGGAGTTTGAATGTACTGTGAATGAAAAAGTAATTTTGACGGCATGGACAATGGGGTGTAAACTTAAAATTCACATTATGCATGTTACTCACCTCAATACTTTAATTTATCATTAAAAGTAGTAGGTTAAACGGAAACAAAAGAGACTACAGACCAGCTAGCAAATTAATAAAGATTTAATACAAGTTTATTTATCTGTTATAAATTGCCATTGGACTTACCAAAAGAAAATTGAAGATTCATTCGATGTTTTGTTCGAAGATTCATTCGATAGTTCCTACGTTTAAATGTCCGTTTCCAGGCCTATGACATACAAAACGAATCTCACATTTTTAATATTTTTCCTTATTAAATATGAAATCTCGCGCAGTCAAGAGAACCGATAAATTTGCAGACAAATCATCAGAAATGGAGCTTCCTGTGCATCAGGTCATCTTTCCACATATTTTCTTGAAGCCAACGTGAAATATTTTAGAATTCTCCTTAGTAAATTTTGTAATGATAAGGAATAGAATTAAAAAATGTATGAACATCAAGCAAAATATCCCCACTGAGTTTTTCAATAAGATTTGTTGCAGTGAAGCTGTGTAGGTATGCAGGTTAACGCGATCGTTGGTGACACCGTTATAGTTCATCGAAGATGACGGCCATTGTTCAAAGCTGCTTGCGAGATTTGAAAATCTCAAAAAATTGACGTTTTCTCAATAATCCCAGTAAGATTAAATTAGTATTCAGGTTGGCAATTAGAAGCTACAAAAAGAAAAATATATTAAGAAAGAAAATATCATAATTTCAAGATATAATATCTATGACTCACACAGAACAGCCAGCCCCTATCTATGCCCTAACTGGAGATATAATGTAGAATTGTACAGACAATAATGAACAATTGCATTCCAGATGAATATTATCAGAACATTATGTTAAAAAATCACTGAAACATTAGCGTACAGGTCCTGATATGCCGGTCAACCTAACATGCGTCGCAGTTATAAGATAACGCCCCACTCGTGGTATTCTCGGCGCCACGTCTTAAGGCTATCACTCGAGTTTAATATATTTTTAAAACACATGCTGCTGCGACGGATCTTGAGTCATGCTAGTTGTATCGTATTAGTTATATGAGTCGTGCTAGTTGTATCGTATTAATTCCAAGAATCATGCTAGTTGAATTGTTTTAGTTCCGGAATCATGATAGTTGAATTATATTATTAAATTATATTAGTTCATGAGTCATGCTAGTTTAACCGTACTAGTTTGAAGATTCATGCTAGTTGAATTGAATTAGTTCCATGAATCATGCTAGTTAAATGTCCTAGTTCCATGAGTCATGCTAGTTAAATCGTCCTAGTTCCATGAGTCATGCTAGTTAAATCGTCCTAGTTCCATGAGTCATGCTAGTTAAATCGTCCTAGTTCCATGAGTCATGCTAGTTGAAATGACTAACAAAGAAAAAATTATTTCGGCTTATTTCGATTTGCTTGACTCATGTTGATTTTCACCGAATATGTGTAATAATTTTGCTTTCTGTATTCAATATGTAAATTGGCGACTCATTTTGACTTAAGGAAATTTCATCTGCGAATATTACCAAATTTTTCCAAGATGCGATGGGGCCAATTATAAGTCAATTATAATTATAATAAGTCAGTGGCCAATTTTTCTTGCTGAACGATGGTCAACAATATTTTGTCCAACTGATAAGTCATAAAAAAATTCAGTAGGGGCAACAAATAAACATTTTATTATTATAATAAATTCAGAGACTTATTTTTTAATTATCGGATTTCTGGCCATTTGAAAATTTTGCTAACAATTCTTTTATCAAGATATATTAATTGAAAATTTATTCCCAGTGATGAATAATGTGATCAATTGACAACATTTATGAATAGATAATTGAGCAACCAATTTTGAAATTTTCAACCAATTAACTGGAGGGAACAGCCAATTAAGCGACTAATTTTCACGCCTCCACTTGACGAACGTGTCGGCCAAACAATATTTCTGCGATTAATTTTATTCTTAGTAGGCAATTTACTAGCAAAATGTTTGTATGACTAATTACCTACAATTATTTATTAGTTTCCGATGATCTTGTTACGACTTTCTAGCGTTAATGGAAATCATGAAGACTGATAAATAGTGTAATAGGTTATAATTTAGTGGTGAGAATGTTTATTTATTAATTTCTTAAATTTTTTTAAATGTAAAAATGATATAATAGAAGATATTTTCTTCTCTTTTCAATTGACCCAGTGACTGTACAAGCAGATGAGTCAGTGGCTGTACAAGTGGCTGTGTGGGTGGCTGACCGAGTGGCAGAGGAAGTGGCTGAGCGTATGGCTGGCTGGCTGAGGCTGGGTCTAGAAGCTGGCATGCTGTATTGATCGCAGGGCAGTAGGGAATGTTATGGCGGTTCGTAGTGGTGGTAGCAGGCGATGTCTGTCTAAGTCTCGCCCTAATTCCTCCTTCCCGATGCCCTAATGTCGATTGAGGTAAGTTTCTAGGCATTATTTCAATTTTGGTTCTACCCCTTACAACAGTTGCTCGTATGTATTAAACAATGAGTATGAAACTCCGTAGAGTTTCTCCTCAGTAGTTGATGCAAAGTCTGTGGGAAACGTACTCCTAATATGACCGACTTCAAGCCTTCTCACGCAAAGACCAACCATGGGTAATTTCTTCTATTCAAATTAGGGAATTTTTTTTACAAGCCACTGTGGATTTCGTTAATAAACAAAGCTAGATTATTCGAGCAGGCATGGGTGGCCTAATCAGCTATGGGACTTCTTGTGACAATTCCTTGAAAATCCAGTCAGCGATGATCGCCAGTCCATGAAGATGTGTCCGTTTACAAGAGAATGCTAATGCTATTAATAGATAAAAAATCTTACTGAAAATGTTAACGCTAAAAACTAAAAAAAATCTTAGTTGTCAGCAAGCGTTGAAAAACATGCATTCAATTTTTTGAAATCATGAACGGGAAATCATAAAAACTCTGTTTTTATCATGAATTCGCATGGTACCATAATATGGGATCAGAAACTTAGACCAATATTGTTTCTACAAACTCGGTATATTCCAATTAATTTTTAGCCAGAATTTCTATTTGAATTTTGCGATACAATTGAGGAAGGCTTTAAAGTTTGCATCAATGCTAGGCATGCTGAAATTTATGCTGACAAGAAAAGGAAATTGCACGGCACACAAAAAATAATCTATAAAGATTATCTATATCTATCTAAGATTATCTATAATAATCTTACATATATTTTTTATGTAACTAGGAAGATCATAGGTGATAATTTCGATTATGAAAAGAGAGTAAGTAATGTAATACAAGTATAATACAAGTGTATACAAGTGTCATATTACAAGTGTAATATGAAAGGAGAGTTTTACACTTTGTTATTTATTATAAAATTAGTTAATTGACTTATTAATTTTGTAAAGAACGAGGAGGATGTTTGAATGTTACCTGAATTTTATTATTGTTATTGTTATTAAAAAATATTACTGGTCGAACCATTCAAGAACAGTCAATTACCATCACCCCAATTACACATTAAACTGATACATTTTCTAATTAGCTACTATAACCTTTGAGGATTATAAAAATGGTGGTAAATTTCTTAGTCGAAAATTTGAATTCAAACTTTCCTTTTCCCAGAAAACAAATGATTTAAATCTCATAGCGATCAAGGATCAAACGACAGAAAACATTTACAAGTGCAGCATGAAATATCGCTGTTATTATTAGCTATAAATATCGTTTATTCAAGCATTGGCATAACACATAATTTATGATACCGCAAAATAAAAGGTTAAATGAAGCATTTCTCTGTGTGAAGGAAAACTTTCACAATGAATCAAAAATATTTAATCTTCAGATAATACAACGATGGGTCGAAAATTTCTATGAGGGTTTTTAGGTATGAATTAAGTATGAATTAATTTCTTGATATTCGTTCACAGGAAAAAATGAATAATAAAATGACAAAAAATATGAATCTATTATTCCGAATTTTCTTTCATACAAAGATAGATTTTTGAAAATGGAATGTTCTAAGACGAAAGTTAAAACTGTACTGTAGATTTAACTAAGTTTCTTTTATAGAAAGTACTTATCAGTAAGTATCTCGAAATATTTTTGTTTCTACATTTGCAGAATAATTGTTTCTGTAAAATCTTCTATTTTAGAGAGTTCAACTAATTAATTGATTTTTGTCAAATAACATTGAAGGGAAAAATGCAATAAAGGAAATTAATAAGAATAAATCGGATCGCCTGTGTTAGCATTTGTAAACGTAATGAGCGGCACACCTCGAAGCATGTGCTCGCGTCGAAAAGATTTACACGGTAATTTTGTAACAACAATATTCAAAGAATTAATGACGATCATTCAAAACCACGAAGTCCATAATAAAAAACACGGGGTTATTACCTAAACACTCAGTTGTATTATTGCCAATCCAAATCCGGATGACAATGAAAAGGATTTTATGGCTTCACTGTGTAAGGTTTAACTAATCGTTTGCCGTCGCATCGCATCATCCGATGCACACGACACCTCAGTTACGCACGAGTTACTATTGCCCTACTCACGGATTTACCGAATAATTTGGTTTCTTGATTCATTTATTTTCTATATTTTTCGATATTCTAGGTGGAAATGAATTAATTTTCGTTTTTTTTAAGATTCGCTTTTTCATTTGTGATTCTCAACAGTCTGTAGTATACTTGAATTTGTCCTCGTTGTACATTAATTGATTTTATAAGCAACTCTAATAAAATCATTTATCATTAACTAACATTAAACTGAACAGTTACAAAACTTTTCGTAATGTGAAATTAGATTATTCCAAACTATTGTAAGAGCAGAAGTTCTACTCCAGAAAAATATTTTTCCACATCAAGTCGTTGATCTTACTTGTTGCATTGGGCATTCTTCAAGCATAAAATTATAGCGTATTATAACCTAGGATTATACTGATGAAACTCTCATAATTTGAAAATATTTGGTTGTAAATTGTTTTGCGAGTTCATGTCAACTGAGAAAATATAAAACTATTTATAATGGTACTAAGATAACAATTTTATTGAAGCAAAACACTTTCTTGAGCCAACTTGGTTCACCGTCTTGTATCAGACAATTAGTCTAATAAGGGCGTCGAATAGATTTATGACATGGCCATTAATTGAAATTATTCATCAACTTACAGTAATTATCGCTCACTATTAACTAATCACTGTTTAACAAGAGTAACCAAAGTCATCTGCCTAGCATGTGGATAATTTATACGCCATAATAACCTATAGTTATTGTGGCATACAGGTAAATTTGGAGTTCGTGGTAAGTCGTTTCTGGCCAGGATATCGATAAGAGGTCAAAATAATGAATTTAAATGAATAGAAAAATGAATAGATTGAATGGAGAGCAATTAATGCTGAAATTCAAAACTTTAGACTGCATTGTAACTATGAAACCAAGCAATATATTATACTCAGCGAAAACGTAAAGTGTTCAAAGATCGTACCGGAGCTTATACCCAGATCGGGAAATAATTCGCATCCTGTCGTTTAATGTAGTGAATGGTAATGGAAGAATCAACATTTTCAATATTACAATGGAAAGGATAGGCTGATCATATGAACCTTATGTATAAACTGCCAAAATAGAAACCAACAACATGACAATAATGTATCTGAAATAAATATTGCTCAAACTTGGCTAGAGATACAATGTTCAATGTAAACTTTGAAGTCATTTATAAATAAATATTTTGACAAGTAGCAGTACACTGGCGACACTGAGTTTTGTGGTCGTGGCAGATTAACGAAATTTCGTGTATCGCATAGCCGACAAAGCTGGTCGCTGCTGCCAGGCTGGAAATATGGGACTGGTATATAGGAATAAGACGAATAAAGCACTGGATTGCTCGATCGAAAATCTACAACGAACTGACTGGATTCCGGAAATGACTGGATTCCGGAAATGACTGGAATTTCAGGGAGCTGGATTCCGGAACGTTTTCATTTATAAGGATATGGTGAATTTCTATGTCATCTTCATTGTTTTTATATTTCTATGTCATGATTGTTCATTAATAGCTAGGATTAAAGAAATATAAGGCATCCTTGCAGGAACCGCAGACCGAACTCGTACTGTACGAGACTACCCACTGATTAACACAGGCTTCATTTCACCTGCTACTAATGATTTTTAGGCAAAAAATGACCTGCTCGACGCAAAACCTCCGAATTCTACATCAAAATATTACATTATATGTTGAATTTAATTTCACTCGCGCTGATATTGTTACGTAGAATATCTGATTTTATTTTTAGCGCATTTCTAATTTATTGAAAAAAAGGCGCTATTGTACTCGTCATGTCCGTCTGTTTGTCCGTCCGTCTGTCTGTCTGTCCGTCCGTCCGTCTGTCCGTCTGTCCGTTCGTCCGTGACTTCACGTTTTCGTCGACTAGAAAATGCGCTCTCTGTCACTCACTGCAGTGAGTACTGAGTTATATTTCTTTACGTAGATGAAGTGTGCTTGCCCCGTTGAGCTACTGCATGTTTAGCCGCCCACGCGTCTAATTCTGTACTTCCACCCTCGCGCGTGGGAGTTACTCTCACTCATTCAAACAGTTCACCTTAAAAGAAAGACAATTTCTTCATCCCTATCTACCTACAAACTCTGACAATCTATAAATTAGACTTCATGAATCATTCATTTACTTACTCCCACTGTTCAGTTTACTCGTTGATTTGAACTCGTTGATCAATGTTTACTCGTTGTTCGATGAACTTTCCTTTACATTACCACATTACCAACCCCCATTCCCTTCTCTCGAGCATCCCCAGAAGTTCACTTTTCTTCCCCAAGCCCTCCCCTGCCCCCCCAATCTATTACGTCCCCCACCACCCCTCTATAAACTCAGCTTCCCCTCTGATGCCCCCCCGGAACTCCCCTCACTCTTCATACCCTCAACCCTCTCCCTCTAATGCCCCCCGGAACTCCCCTGGCTCTTTATACCCCAAAACCCTCCCCCCTCTAGAAGGGCCCATGACCCAGTTAATAAGGCCCGCCTCTGCGCTCCTGAAGAAGGCCTTTCATTTTGAAATTTTGTTGAAAAATGATCGTATTTTGCCGCTTGATTTCACTCATAATCAGTCAAATCGTTGTTTACGGAAAAAAATGGAAAGAAAGATTCAAACCAGCAATTCAGATCATTAGGCAGAATCTGGATGATAATAAATGCTACCAAATTAAGAAGTTTCTTAACAATAAAGTGTGAACTCAGAACAGCAGAAACGTAATAAGACCTAATAACATAATTATTAATAATATAGTTATGATTAATATATACAAATAAAAATAATATGACGTAATAATAATAAACCATAATAAGCACTAAACGAAAAACTCTTTAAATAATATTTTTAGTGGGAGGTTATTTTTTTCATAATTAAATGTAATAAATGAGTGGACAAATAGTGAAGCACTTTTTGTTCTGTTTGAATCATTCAAACCCACTTATGACCCGTAAGAAAGCGTATCGATTATATGAGCAGAAAGTGTTTCGATATTTGGATAATATGACCCATACATTTTACTGTGTTTGACATCCAGACTAACTTTACAAGATTATTCAAAATGATGGACCTAATTTAACAGATTTGTATTTATTTAGGTATAAAATGAAAAATATAGTATAAATTCGTTGGTAGGGTGCCTAAGGAATGAAGATCTGGCTCTACACTTCTGGCCACCTAGAACACCCTGATCTTAAATGACTATTTCTTATGTGGTTACGTCAAGGAAGCTGTTTACGTCCCGCCTCTACCAGCAACTCTGTTTACGTCCCGCCTCTACCAGCAACTCTGTTTACGTCCCGCCTCTACCAGCAACTCTGTTTACGTCCTGCCTCTACCAGCAACTCTGTTTACGTCCCGCCTCTCCCAGCAACTCTGGTTAATCTGAAGAACCGTATCACTGCTACGGTGCACTCAGTAACAGAAGATATGCTTTCTCGTGCGTGGGACGAGTTTGGATATCCGTTACGATGTTTGCCGTGCAGCGCAAGGGGGACATATTGAACATTTTATAAATATGTAAATAAAAATTTCGACTCTTTCTCTTTCCATTGGTGAATAAATTATTCATTTGACTACATAAAGAAATAAGTACTAATTTATTAAATTTGGTCCATCATTTAGAATGACTCTGTATACTCGAGAAGGTGAAATGGAAGATCAGCTGATGAGTGTCTCTAAGAACAACTTTAAGAAAATCCAGCTACTTCAACTCATCGTCTATCAACTGCGTTTTATTAGTTTTTTATCATTATGTTCATTAATTCAATTTTATTTATTTAAGTAACTGCATTGTTTTGTTTGGATCGCAGAGAGCATATTAATAATTTTTATTAAAAGGCTTTCAGCAGTAGAAAAATCAAACGACGCAACACAAATACATGTGAAATAAAATTTATTTGTAATGAAACCATCAACATTCAGACTATAGACAACAATAATTGCATAGCATAAAATTTTGTTTGGTACATCCGCGATTTATGGATCTGCTACTTAATTGTTATGCACTCTAGAAATATTAAATTCAATATTTATTTTGAAAAGAAGAAACTGCCTCGTGTCGGTGCAGATAATTCAACAGACAATCCAAGATTACGTCAAGTCACCAATTTGCCGTCACTGGAAATTACTACCAGCACTATAAAATAATTTTGTATTGCGCTCCATCACTTAAGCAATTTTTCTTAATTTCCATCATGCATTCTGTAATTATTTTATTCGTGATACAGAAGGCACGTATCCTACTTATGAAATGAAGAATAATTTAATTTTTTATTCCTACTATTTTCAAATTATTCTCCGTCACCTCCAGGTTCTCTCTTTTGGCTGTAACTCCGCAGCTCTTATTCCAAAAAAATTCTATAATTAGAAAATTCCCCAACACAACACGGACTCAACTATAGACGAAACTAATTTACATCCTTAAATAAAGTTTTCAGAGTTTTCCTCGTTAAATTGCATGCAGCAACAACACTTCCGCTTCCGCATAGCCATCATCGTTACACATGAAAGGCGTCGCACAATAGCTCAGGGAAAAATTCATTCAATTGAATGTCTGGAGACGAACGCTCACCTTTATTCATTGTCGCATTCGAGATAAGTTTACTGATCATGCAGCGATAGCTGGAATTTCACGCATTCTTATCACATTCAGTTTTAATTCTAAGCAACCTTTATTCTCATTAAACAAACCGGAAGTACAATAGGATTTCTCTCATATTTTATTTCCGATATCTAAGAGGCCCTATAGGAATTTTTGCCTGAAATTATTGAAACTTGTCTGAAGATCTTTAATATCTGAGATTTATAAGTCCGATGTTAATTTTTCATGCTTGATGTTGATTATTTTGGCGCAAAATATAAACCGTTAAAATTACTTAGAAGTTTCTTGGAAAAGCCTAAATTAATAACCGTTTTATATGTAAATCTTTCTATTTTATCAGTAGGTTGAAAAGCACCAGCATATTTATTTGTAGCCGCCACTGACGACACGTTCTTCAGCCACTTGATGCTAGTTCGTCTTTAGTTTGTAGTTAGTTTAGTTGTAAATCTTTCTATTTTATCAGTAGGTTGAAAAGCACCAGCATATCCTAAGCCGCCACTGACGACACGTTCTTCAGCCACTTGATGCTAGTTCGTCTTTAGTTTCCTCGAATTCAGAGCTCGTTGTAAAAATTTTGGGTATGAATATGTAAAAATTTGATCAATAGGTACTCGAACTACTTTGAAAATGATTATTTTCGTTATTAACACAACCGTACCTCATTATTTATCACGTCTTTTTAGGCTGGCAGTAGAGAGAAGGCAACTGCAGTAGAATCTACGGCTAGGCAAGAGAAGTAGACCATGGATGAGCTTCAACCTCTCCCCTCGAGGGGGGGCGGAATCTACTTCTAGCCCCCTTTAAGCCCCCCTGGAGAGGGAGGGGGGTCCAGAATCTACTTCCAGCCCCCCGGAAGCCCCCTCTTCTTCCGGGTTTACCTCGCCCCATCCCCACCCTACCCTTCCCCTCAGTGGCCCGGTTTTTTTCTCTCGCTCTGCCTCCGGTCTTGCCCCCCTGTCCCTCCCCTCCTCTCATACACTCTATTTAATCCACGCTCTTTAATCCAATCTCTTGAATCCACTCTCTGTAATCCAATCTCATTAATCCACGCTCTTTAATCCAATCTCTTGAATCCACTCTCTGTAATCCACTCTCTGTTCTCCAATCTCATGAATCCCTTCTCTGTAATCCAATCTCATTAATCCACGCTCTTTAATCCACTCTCTTCAATCCACTCTCTGTAATCCAATCTCATTAATTCACTCTCTTTAATCCAATCTCATTAATCCTCTCTCTGTAATCCAATCTCATTAATCCTCTCTCTTTATTCCAATCTCATTAACCCACTCTCTGTAATCCAATCTCATTAATTCACTCCCTTTAATCCAATCTCATTAAACCACTCTCTTTAATCCAATCTCATTAATCCACTTTCTTTAATCCAATCTCATTAATCCACTGTCTTTAATCCAATCTCATTGATCCATTCTCTTTAATCCTCTCTCTTTAACCCACTCTATTTAAATCGCTCTCTTAACCCCACTCTCTTTGATCCACTCTCTTCAATTAACCCGCTCTCTTTAACCCACTCTCTTTAACCCACTCTCTTTAACCCACTCTCATCAACCCACTCTATCTAACCTACTCGCTTTCTCTTGTTCTCTCCTCCACTCACTATCCTCCACTCACTATCCTCCACTCACTATCCTCCACTCACTATCCTCCACTCACTATCCTCCACTCACTATCCTCCACTCACTATCCTCCACTCTCCATCCTCCACTAGCTATCCTCTAGTAACTATCCTCCGTTCACTATTATCCAGCCTGATTACACAGTTTTCATACATGACGGCTTCTTCAATACCATTTCTGGTCTTCTACATCCGATGGCTGCTACGCCGCCCTCCTTCAAGCCACTTCGGCTCTCCCATCCCTGATGGTTCCTCCAAGGCCACTTCGGCTCTCCCATTCCTGATGATTCCTCCTAGGCCACTTCGGCTCTTCCATCCCTGATGGTTCCTTCAAGGCCACTTCGGCTCTTCCATCCCTGATGGTTCCTTCAAGGCCACTTCGGCTCTTCCAATGGTTCCTTCAAGGCCACTTCTGCTCTTCCATCCCTTATGGTTCCTTCAAGGCCACTTTGGCTCTTCCATCCATGATGGTTCCTCCAAGTCTATATCCGCTCCCCATTCTCTGGGGGCACAAAAGGCCAAATCTTTCTTGCGGTGTAGGTAACGACGTTTCTCATCACGTTGCTGCCACTCAAGAATTTACTTGAAATAAATAGCTACGATTGCAGTCAAATAAAATTAATCGATATTCAAGCGCTCTTAAAATATCTTCATCGAAGCACAGAATTGCTAGGCCTTATTTAATGGTTATAACTTTATTGTGTTTAGCAATAAAACGTCGGTTTAATTTCAGTATTTTTTTAAATTCCTCATGATTCAAATATTTGAAGTATATGTCGTATTAATCAAACTGATTCATGTCTTCAATTCCTTTAGTGCCTTCCACACAAGTCACTATTAATCCCTAAATTGCGGGGCGCCATTTGCTTTTTAATTACCCTTACAAACCATTCACCCATCCCTCCCCACCCTCCCCAAGGTACAGAAAGTAGCCTCGAACAATTTAATTGCCCTGACAAACCATTCACCCATCACTCCCCACCCTCCCCAGGGTACAGAAAGTAGCCTCGTATAATTTAATTACCCTGACAAACCATTCACCCTCCCCACCTCCCCCAGGGTAGGGGGAAGCGCCCGTATAATTTAATTGTTCTGACAAACCATTCACCCAACCCTCCCCAGGGTAGGGGGAAGCGCCCGTATAATTTAATTGTCCTGACAAACCATTCACCCAACCCTCCCCCCCCAGGGTAGGGGGAAGCGCCCGTATAATTTAAATGTCCTGACAAACCATTCACTCCACCCCCCGCCCCAGGGTAAGGGGAAGCGCCTGTATAATTTAATTGTCCTGACAAACCATTCACCCACTCCCCAGGGTAGGGGGAAGCGCCCGTATAAAGTATGGGACAGCGGGCGGACTGTGCGCAAGGGCATCGTTGTCTCCACCTTCACGGAGCTCGTCGAGAAAGGTGACCAAACCTGCAAGAAAATTCTAATATAAATTTAATAATTATTTTTCGATTTTCACCTTTTATAATCACTATCAGTGAATTTTTTCATTTTCAGACATAGATATTGAGATATACTCAATATATAAGTACCAACAGTACTATCACTTTCAATACATACCAGTGAAATCTGCTGCCGTCGATTTCTGAAAAGTCTACGGTAAAATTACTGATCATTTAAGTACCTGTTGGTACGAACTCAACAATTATTAATCGACTTCATTTGTTAGAACTTCCTCGAGTGAATTTAAAGATACTACCCTAATTTTTTATGAAGAATCGGGTTAAATTAATTATATATCAACCAGAATTTAAACTACACTGTAATATTTCATACTAATATATAATGTGCATCTATCTTGATCGCTGTTGTAGCTAATAAAGATGATTGTTAGTTTAAAGCTCACTTTAGAGTGTCAACTTACTCAAGGTGAACTGGTCATCTCTTATAGCCGCGTGCAATAAAAGACTTACAGTATATCTAAAACATTAAAAAGGTGGTTAAACAAAACATTTCAATCTCGTTAACTATCGAATTCGTTCCATCTTTAAATTCGATAGTTGCTGCTGACTGTACGAGAATGTCTTAGTCCAATAATTATAGACACCCCATGCTTAATTTTCATTAACTAGTAACAAGTTGAAGCTAAATAAAGTTGATGGTAAGCGTCAGGTCTAACTTTGAGCATCTCAACTTCAATTTTTTAACAAGTAACAAGTTGGAGTTGAATAACGTTGAATGCATGCTACAGGTCGCGAGAAGTTGGAGTTGAATAACGCTGTATGTATGCTACAGGTCGCGAGAAGTTGGAGTTGAATAACGTTGAATGTATGCTACAGGTCGCGAGAAGTTGGAGTTGGGCGACGTAGTAACAAGTTGGAGTTGAATAACGCTGAATGTATGCTACAGGTCGCGAGAAGTTAGAGTTGAATAACGTTGAATGTATGCCGCAGGTCGCGAGAAGTTGGAGTTGGGCGACGTGCGCGTGCGCGTTGTGCTCGAGGCAGACGGTACACATGTCGACGACGCAGAATATTTCAGCAGCCTGCCGGAGAACACAGTCTTCCTGCTGCTGCGGCAAGGCGAGCACTGGTATCCTGCTGGCGTCGAGGCCATTAGACAAGGTAACCACATCACTTGATTAAAAAACTAAATAATTAAATAAATTGTAGTTATCTTTTTATCTAATAACTGTAATTACCACATCACTTAATTATTAGTAATTAACTATTTATCTAGTAACTGTAGTTATATTAAGGGTAATTACGCTTTAGCAGGTATTGGTAGATACCAACATACCATATCACTTGAATAATAGTAGTTACCATTTTACCTGATAACTGTAGTTATTAAGGGTAATTGCGCTTTATCAGGTCTTGGTAGATACCAACATACCATATCACTTGATTAATAGTAGTTACCCTTTTACCTGATAACTGTAGTTATTGAGAGTAATTACGCTTTATCAGGTATGGTTACCAAGCCAATAGATACAATATTAACAACGTTAATATTTAACAATATTAAGATCAGTTCATGTATCAGTAGCGATAACTTGAACCTATGTCTCCTTGTAGGTACTATCATTGCCTAGTCAATAGATGCGAGTAGAAACAACATAGACGGCGGTTACTTTATCAGTAGATAAAATATAAATATTTTCTTAATTATCAGAATTTTATAGAAGACGAACGCAAAACAATGCTAAATGCATTTGTGAGTGAAAGTTTAAACAGTTTTTCCTATCATTACTTACTAAAATTCATCAATTTTTGTCCTCTCGGTAACTTACAGTTCTGGGCCTATACTTTCAGAAAAAGTTAAGAGATCGTAAGTTCATCAGCCAATCATTGACGGTTCTTTCAAGCAAAATCCACCAATCATAGACAAGAAAATAGAGAGTTAGTACTTACGTTCACTTAGCGAGTTTTGAAAGTATTGCCCCTGAAAATTATGAGTTATGACATACATGGATAAAATGATTATAATTAAATTTGAATAAAAATAAAGAGGTACCACCATAAATCTTTTTGGCAAGGTAGCCTGAGCAAAATTTTGAAAAAAATTATAATGAGATCGATGAATTTAAAGAATATTCCACATTAGCTGCAGAAGAATATTCCACAATTAGCTGCAGAAAATTTTTAGCTCGATAAAAATGAGTCTTAAAAGTAACCATGCATGTCAGTAATTATCAATGCACAAAGGAAGTTATAGGAAGGAAGTATCTCGATGGCTTCTGAAATTCTCAATTATACAAAAGGAGCGCTTTGTTTAATTATATATATATAATATATAATTAAACATTTTATATAATATATAAAGTACAATATTATATAAAGGACAATATTAGAATGCTTAAAGCCCACGAGTGACACGAAATTGGCGTTTTGGGGGAAAAGCACGTAGATTATTTCATGATTTATATTATTTTATGGGCCAACTTACGATGTAAATCGATTCAAAGTATAGAAAAATTTAATTAAAGTGCAGTATAAGATAATTTGATAGCTACCATTTCGGTAAGTTATTTGGCTACAGACTGGTTTCATATACACATTGATGAATGCCAACACTCATGTAAACATTTATTTCAAACAAACATTTAATTCCTGTGTTTTATTCCTATCAATCATTCATCAATCTTTGGCACGTAAGGATCATCCATTTGTAAATAAAGAGTAGCAGATAGTTTAAATATTTCTCTTCCTTATTTGAGAAAGCCAATTAAACGGTAAGTGAAAATACATATAAATACATAATTTTTCCCTGGCTGTGATGCGAATGAATGCGAATGAATTTCAAATGTTTCAAAGTATCAACGAATCCGCAAATTGTTTGTTGCTTTTTGATGAATCAATTGAAAAATGTTGCATTCATAATATTTTGTTGGCATTTTCCAAAGTCGTACGTCGTATGTAATCGTAATAATCGTAGGTATGTAACTGTATTAATGACATTAGAAGTTGACTGAAGAACTGAAGAAGTTTTTTTCAACATAGTTTATGTTGATTATGACATGAGAACTGATGTGCCAATCAGTGTTTTTAAAATGTCGGTAGAATATGAACAGTAATGTTAATTTTGTCAATACGTTCTCGTTTTGAGATCAATAGTTTTGCTGAGCTAAAAATGCATCCAAGGCTTTGAAACTAATCTTGATAGTTATTGTACAGTAATTATATTACAGGATTTGTTCCTATTATATTGGACAAGTTAGCTTCGACTGTCAATAGATAGAAGAATGGAAAGTCTGAATTACGCATTAAGTAATTACTGGCTCCAATTTTTAAAATGGAATTTTTTTCAAAAATATAGAGAATTTCCATTCTTTATTTCATTGGCTATTCCGATAGGATCTTCACATCTACCTTCACGATAGTATCTCATCAAACACATATTTTTAGTTTTCCTAAGTCTTCAAATATTTGATTAATTGTTCATTAAGATATAAAATATTTTCCAATAAGTTGGAGGTTTAGAACTTTTAATTTGGTCGAAGGACATATGTTAAACATGAAATAAAACTGAATAATGCAGGCTCTGATATTTAGGCAGGATGTCATTCTCAAGTTTTCCGTTATTCTAGAAACTGTCTCAGTAACCTCTCATTAAATTGAATCATCTCTAATGTTAGTGATATAGGAACAAACTCATATCATGAGTCTAATATTGGGAGCATGAAATTTATCACATAACAGTTGTTGTCTTATAATATCTATCAGGTCTTGTCCCCGAAATTTTTAAATCACTTCTATAGCATCCATTAACGTAAATAAAATATAAAATACAATCCATATAATATAATGGGAATAAGGAAACTGGTAATCAAATTTTCCTTTAACTCGCTCGGCTGACAAATTAGAGTAGAAGCAAATGCTTTGAGTTTCAAATAATTTACCAAAGGCCTTCAATCGGTACAATATCTTTCAAGAAGCTTGTTCTACAAGAAGCTGACATTTAAAACAGTGAATTTGATAAAAATATTAATTATATTTTATCGATCGAATTTACATTGATTGACTGAAATAAATCTTTCTTAACTAAAATCTGTTAATATGTGAGTACGCGGATTAAAAAAAAAGTCTGAAAACATCATGGGTAAAGATAAATAGACTATTTTCTGAAACATTTTTTCGTAATGATACGAAGAAATGATCGAGTAATTTAGCGATATACAATTGTGAGAATGTTCGGCAGTCTTCATCTATCTTATTTCATTCTAAACATACACATAGTTCAAATACTGCTACCATTCATTCAACTGATAAACTATTACACCTCCGAGTCAACAAGCAATAATGCTGATTAAAATATATCAACAGAAAAACATAATATTATATAATTGGAATAATTATAATAAAAATAATATCACTTCTTGGTATTCATATTTACATATATATAATTATTATTTAAAATTGTATTTTCCCTTCATTTCCCCTTCGAGTTATTCCCATGCATTGATGAAATTCATGTCACATCTGCTGAAATGCACCACAGCTTCCCACCCTGCAGCTCCCGGCCTGTACATTATTAAAAAATTTTAAATACTGATTGCATGTTCAAATCCGCAAATGCACCCATATAAATAATGCCGTAACGGGCTCCTTTTGTTGTCCTATGAAAACCATTCACATGCGGAACATTTTTACTGTTTTGATGTCGTAGATTTTTAAGTTCAATGTTCACTGGATTTTTCTCATATGTCAATGTTATGGCGGAAAATTGAGTGGCTTTCAGCATGATTTTGTTCTCAGTGATCGTTGGTCTGCCTCATCAGTATGGAAAGTGTCGATATTTTTGTACGTATATATGAAATATTAAGATTTTACTTCGTTTTTGCTGCTGTGCTTCGGTTATTTTTGCGCGAAGAATGTACTAGCATCACGATAAGTACATTTTATCAGCTTTGTGCGTTGCAGCCTCTTGAAAATATTAGCGTATCTGATAAATTCTTTAGGGCAATTAGCCATGAATTTTCGTATTACTTAACCGAACAAATAACTTTGCTAGCGCGAGAAAAAACTCAAATTTATTTTAGTTACCGATAAAATTTTGCCGCTAAGTTGACGAATTTTTTTATTCTATTAGGCAATAAATGTAACCTAAAAATCACTAGAGTTAAGATTTTCACATGTTTAAACAACGTTTATACATATCAATCTCAGCTTTAAAAAACGGTTAACTTTTCTTTGCTCAAATGAATGGTAGATTCGTGTGGATGATTCCTCTTTTACATAAAATATCCAACATATGAACTTAGAGAAATCCCTTTACATTGGGTGTTTGGACTGAGGCGCATTTCTGCTTTGAACATTGATTAAAATTGAAATTCCCGTAAAATTATATCATCATTAGTGCTGGATATAATCGTGTGGCCTCCGAACACTTCGCGTAAGTCCAGCAATAATTTGTAACAAGAAATGAACCTACAGTATATGCGATTAGTGTAGGTAGGTAGGTTGGTGTACATATCATCGCGTATTTAGCAGGGTTAACATTTTATGCTCAACTTCACGACCAATGGAAGCATTGTTTATTTTTGAGCTTCACGATTGAAAAGTCTATATTTTTTCACAGTTTAAAGAATTGAGACATCGTTAAAAATCGGGAAAAAGTGTGAAAGCTATTTTTTTTTTTTAGTGGGGGCAAAAAATCTTTGGTATTTTTGGTAAGCAGCTGAGCGAGTGAGGAGAGTGGTGTCACCTCTATCCTTACGTTGTATTGCATTTTCGAAATGGAATGCAGTCAATGGTTTTCCAACGTTTTTTTAAGACCGGATTTCATGTTTTTCGGAATTCTGGTAAGACAAACAATACAAATCAATTTAAAATTCGATTATAGAGCTTATCGCAAAAATTGGTTTCTCACTAAATTAATGTTAAGTTTTTTTTCACCACATTCATCGATCATCCAAGCTTCATCCAACTTGAATCAGGCGAAATAAGTTCTTTCATTCTCTCACTAAATTTCAATAACTTCCAGCAACTGCCATCTGTGAAATTTCTGAATTGATCTGAATTTCTTGTCCTCGTTTTTTTGACGAGTCATAGGCAGAATTTTTCAATTTAATTGACTCGAAACCAGCCAATGTTCATCGCCCATTAATTGAGATGACCGAACAAAATTATTGAAACTGCGAATAACAAATTCTTCGACCCAAGATCAATCCCTATCTGTATACCTAAATATGAGTACGTCTTGTTACAAGTCAATTTTATGGATAACTCGTAAGGAGTAAACTAAATGACTGAATTAATTCATCGCAAGGAATGAAATAACTCATCCCTCGGAGAAAATGAATGAATTTATCCATCCATAGCAGGGAATGAATGAACTCATCCCTCGCAAGGAATTGAATTAAGTCATCCCTTGCAGGAAATGAATCAATTCGTTGATCTCAGTGAATAAGGCAATTGCATGGGAAGCACTATAGGGTCGTTATTGGGCATGCGCGCACAAGTGAGGTAACGTGGCCACTCTCCCGCTCCTCACAGCCATTACCGCCATACCGAAGATTGTGTGTGAAACCATCTACTCTTTGGGGTTACACGATGAAGCTCCGGTCTGGAAGGTCATGGATCAGTACGGCAAGATAACTGTCGTGCTATCTTGGGATCCATGTCATCGGGGACCGCCACTCCAGCACGGTACGAGAACTTACTCAACAGCTCATGAGCTATCACTCATTATTTACGTCATTTTATATTTGTTCCTTCTTATTCATGGTACTAGGAACGAGGTTTTGTGATCCTACATAACATTTCTAAATTCGTGATTCGTCCATGAAACACAGTTGAAATTATTCGTATTTTTCTTCTAATAAAGTCTGAAGAACAAATCGCTTTAATTAGAATACGGAAGTGTTTATTTTATTATTAGAGGGAATGCAAAAACATTCAGAGAAATTGAAAGACTTTCTTGATCCAAGGTTCCAGCTCCAGAAACATCACCTTGCATGTAACCAATATATTACACTCGTATGTGTACAATGTGAACTGTCATCACCTTTATCAAGTGCCAAAACGAGATCATGAACTTGTGTGATATACAACCTATACAGGCTATGCCGTAACACAGCATCTATTGTGGTCGTCTGAACTGATTTCTTTTCTGAAAATGTTTCTATAACTTAAATGCCACGATACGCCGACTCAATGTAGCCCAACGTTTGCTAATCGACGAATCTCATTCAATTCTCCAGCACACTTCATAAACAAGTTATTCATAAGCACGAGGGATATCCAAGCATCGCATGTTTATTCGTTCACATATGCTTGAAGCAGCATGGTTCTGGAAAAGCACAATAATTTTTTTAAATTATAGTTTCGTTCAAAACAGAATAAAATATTTTATTCACGCAGTACATTTATAATGTGTCCGTAAAACACGATAAATATCAAGAAATACTGGTTAGTTAATTCTCATGCGGAAGAACGTAAAAATTCTGAGGAGAGATGCTAAGCAAATTAATGCCTGACCTCTGTACTCCATTATGAGATTTAAATTATGTGAGCATCAGGCGAACAGTTCAATATTAATGCGTTTATTCGTAATTATACATAGATTTCTAGGATATATGTATATGAGGGATACACTTAATTATCGGGATTATAATTATATTATAATTATTACATTGGCGTGCGCTAATACTTTCATCGGTGCAGCGCCATATCTTAACCAAGTAAAATATTACATTGGTATACCGTGCAGTTAAGGCATTAGTCTTTCCACTGCCAATTAGTATTTCGTTTCTTCTTGAAGACAAACTCCCATTATACGGTCGGGAAAAAGTATAAACCCTCAAAAGGTGCGGTTAATTCTGTATATGCTGACCAAGCTTAAACGGTATTAGCGATGAACGTGAATTTACAGTTGCAAAACATGTTTCGAATCTTCAGAGCACAGTCTAGTTGTTCTTCACAGATTCCAACTCTTCTAAGTATCGTAAAGCTGACGGATGTATATATGTTGAACATGTGTTTGTAACTTCATCATATACGACTCACTCAACCAAGAACATTTTATGTATCATAAATTATCTAATTGGTTCTTGTTTTTATATTTACTCAATTTATCAACGGTCACTAGATGTTTATAGCTTCAAACACGAGATTGAGAACATGAACCCATGTTTTTGATCGCAAGATAATCATTTAATTTTTTTCTCTTCATTTAATTAAGAAAGTGTTCATAATTTTTACTTACTTTTACTGTTCGCAACCTTGTTCTCTGTCTCTTAAACTTGCATTTTTCTTACTTTTCCCTCAATAAACATGATTTTTACTAAATATTACCCACGCGTGCATCCCATATATGAACAATTCCCGACCAAATAACAACCGTCTTTATTCAAACACGATTCCTTTCTTTGAACCTATATATGCTCCTTGTGTTCTAAAACTGCTTTTAACTTACGAATTGAAAGTGTCTATGCACTTGTACGTAAAAATTTCGTCGTGTAAATATAACATCCTAAAACAGGCTGAATTAAATTTGAAACAATACGGAAAATTTCATGGAAGTGGAATACTACAAATTACGAATTTCACATCATATAAACCTCACAGTGATTTAACCGTATTTAAAAACTATTCAAGTGTTAAAAATATAATATTTTCCAGCCTCGCCCCGGAAACCTGCTGGAACTGCGAGAGTGATCGTGAGTGGCATAGGAGAGAACGCCGTGCAACGTCATCACGAAGCCCTGACTTCCCACGCAGTTTTATCCACGACGCCTTCCATAACAACTGGAACTCCTGGTGGCATGGTTCACGGTACCGTCACAACCATCCTCAGAGACGGCAAGAAAGAGACCATCATCAACGATGTTGGGTCCCTGCATCAGGTGAGACTTCGTTCCATCCATTTTAAGTGGCACCGCGACATTAATTAATATCTAGTTAATAAATAAATTTATCCTACCGACTAATTCATACAGGATAACAGCGAAAATTTATTGCTTGGATTATGGCAAGACACTTTAATTCAGAATAAAATGTACGTCTAACGTAGGAGTTGGACTTAGCTTGATGCTGCATAAATTAAATAGATATTGCATAGATTCTCAATATCCAAATATTCATCTAAATAATAAATTTAAATCATTTTCGAAGTTAAGTGAAACACGTGTTTTCTTAACCGTTCTTCTCAAATAAATCATTTTTTGCAATTTTATATTTAATTATAACGCGCTTTTACAGGGCGCTCTCGTAAATCATGACGGGGAACATAAAACTACGTTCATAGGGCGGCTCTCCCGCCAAGGTTCTTCTGTCGAGTCCGGTCACTCCGCCATCCACGTGCACACTCCAGAGTGCTGTACCCGCGGTCACCCCACTCCTGTTCTACCGACCAGGGCTTCGCCCACCGGCGAACAACAGGAGTGTGACTTCCACTGTTGCACACTCCACGAAGAGACCAGCCGTTTGCCGGGTAGAGATCGGCACCATCATCATCATCATCACCAACAACAGCAGACGTCTCAACATCCATCATCTCAACAGGTGCGAATACCCCTTTCACCTCTCGTTTTACAGCAGCAACAGAAACAGCATCACCAACTTTCCATCACAACGCCAAGTCGAGCAGCCCTTTCACCACTTCTAGCCCTCGAACACCAATTGGACAATGAACCGTTTGGAGTTATTTCACCATCTCCCCAAGCTCACTCACCGTGTTATCCTACTTCTCCGTCATCACCGTTGCATGTTATAACTTCCTCTTCACCACCTCCTCCTTCTCTCCCTTCTCCTCACAGCAAATCATCGTCATCATCTCCTCAACTTCACACCCCACACACCTACTCGCCTCTGACACTTCAGGCGCAGAAATCCACGGCCATAAAAACTTTGCAGATCCCATCCCAACCTCAGAAGCGGGTGCAGCGATCCACCTCGAAGAGTCCATCTCCTTCCATCCGAGTTCAAATTCATTCACAGTCACTCCAGATTCCTTCTCATCCTCATCCGCACCATCAACAGTCACTCCCACTTGAGGTTCATCAGGCTTCAGGATCTCACCAAAGGTTCCCGTCTGATGCGAGTCAATCTTCAAGATCTGCGTCTCAGCACGCCCAGACAAAAGTTACGTCCTCGCAACAAATGTCTCTGACCGCACAACAGAAGCATCAACATCTGCAACAACTTCAAGAACAGCTGCATCAGCAGCAGTTAGAATTACAGCAAATAGAAATTCACCATCAGCAACAACAGCTGGAAAAACAGCAGCAAAAGTGTCGTATCCACGATCAACCATGCAACTGTTGTTGATGCAAAAACTCTTAGTTCCCTCGTTCATCTGGAAGTAGAACATTGGTGGGGTGTTTCGCATTGTCCGCCCAGTTTTACGTTGGTTTAGGACAATTTTCATGATCGCAAGTAAGGGTTGCTGAGATATTCAAGTGGCTCTATGCAAAAATTTATTTACTCTCTGGCTGCATACGGTTTTTTTAACTATTTATGCATTTCCATGATCTGCCAAATGGATTCTACGAGTTCAAGGATATTGTGTTTGCAAAGAACTATTTCGAATCAAACGAATCTTAATGTTCACACTAATTGATCCCTTGTTTGCGAAGTAATTTGTATGCCGATGTCTGCGAAGTAATTTGTTCGCGCTGCATGTATGCGTCCTCTAATGCTGTGGTCTTCAGGTGTCGTTCGTGCTCTATTGTGGGCAATTTGACGAAACTAAGCACAAATTTCTTTCACTGCCAATGCATAACAAACTGCCATTCATATACTGCCAGTTATTTAAGTATATATTGATCTCTCCAAACTTAATCGTAAAGTACCTCTTAAGGGATTCTTATAAATGTGAGTAAGAGACTTTCATATTCAATAGGTTTGAAAGGAAAGTGCTTAGTTGCCTAACTGACTACCAACCAATGCCATTGATTTACAGAAAAATTCGTTGCTATACGATGAGCAAAAAATCAATCGCGAAAGAATCAGTGAAAATGTTTCAAACGTGTTCAAAAATTCAGTTGCTCATTAAAAATAGCAATCGAGAAGACAATATGATAGTGTGGCTACTAGCTGTATAATTATTTTAATGATAATTCAACTTATTGGTGCTGTATATGAATGTTTAGTTAAGTCCGGTAATTTTTTAAGCAAATTTCCTATAACTACATAATAATAATTAATACTGTTAAGAATTTAACGTTAACTGTTAATAACTTTACCCTAATTTTTTGGGGATAAGCCTTCAGTGGAGCAGCTGCTCTTCTCAAGACATTTATGACCAAAATCAGGAAGATTAATTTGAAGAAATAAGCAATTTCAAGAGCCAGCAATTTCGAGTCCAACTACCTCAATGCTCTATGCAATCTCTACCTGCCTGTGGTGCGGTGTGTGGTCCATACCACTGCCTGTGGTGTGGTGTGTGGTCCATACCACTGCCTGTAGTGTGGTGTGTGGCCCATACCATTGCTTAATGGTGTGGTGTCTGGTCCACAATCGTTCACGCAATCTGATCGTTAAGTCTCACAATAAGAAATGAAAAAAGAGGCTCCATCATGGCATTGTGATGAAACTGGATGATTAATTTTTTCTCTAATTTCCATCCTGTGATTTCACATTTTCACACATTCATGTAATCATGTTTTTTCAGCATACTTACCTCCTAATTATATTGCTTCAACATTTATTCAGAATGTTCCATTTTATCTATTAGTTGGAGTGATTTCTACCTTTGCTGATAAAGATATTTACTGATATTATTATTATTTCAAATGATATTAAATTCGTAACTTAGCATGGATTTCTACATGTTTAACTCGTATAAAGCTACCTGCATAGGATGAAGCATCAAAAAAGTGAAGCAAAATTAATAACGGTATAATGTTTGTAGAAATAACATAATTTTTTCAATACCTTTACTTTTTTTAAATACTTGTAATTTTTATAAATACTTATAATGATTGACATGTATTGTCTTAAAATCTGATAAGCATAGAGCAGCTGTGTATTATAAACTTAAGATTGCAGCCTAGCCAAGTGGTGCTCCGTGGTGCTGGAGATAATTTCTTTTTGTAATGCCTGAAGATATTTAACACTCTTCATGGTTTAACAAATGTAAGAATTATAATACAATTAAGTGAAACTATTACGATAATTTTCACACTTCTATTCTTAAATATTTTCTATCATGTAACATTGATAACTCTGTACGTAAGCAACGATACTAACCGTTGGATTTTGCCAATAACATCCGAAGGCGGAAACCTTGCTTTGGCATCGTTGTGATTTATATATTTCGCCGTCAATCATTGTTGTCTTCATTTCTCCGAACACTCAGCCTACATTCATTACTTTAGTTCACCATCAAGCATTGTTGTCTTCATTTCTCCGAACACTCAGCCTACATTCATTACTTTAGTTCACCATCAAGCATTTCTGTTTTCATTTCTCCGAACACTCAGCCTACATTCATTACTTTAGTTCACCATCAAGCATTTCTGTTTTCATTTCTCCGCACACTCAGCCTACATTCATTACTTTAGTTCACCATCAAGCATTGCTGTTTTCATTTCTCCGCACACTCAGCCTACATTCATTACTTTGGTTCACCATCAAGCACTGCTGTTTTCATTTCTCCGAACACTGAGCTTGCATTCACTACTTCAATTCACAAGCAAGCAAAACTCTGTGGTTTAAGTAAGCCATGGGAAATATTACGATGGTAATCGCGTCGTGATGATGAAGAAGGTGGAGGTCATCAGAGGAGGTGATGAGATGTTGCACCGGATGTCGCTGCGTGCCTTTCTTCATGCAGAAACCTCTGGGCTCTGATAGGTAACCCATAAAACAAACCATATCTTTATATTAACTCGGACACTAGCATGATGGGGCAAAACTTGCGAGAATGCGTTCGTTTGTAATCATCAACGTAAAACTGGTACAAATTTATGAGTTTATATTACCTAAAAATAACTGTTATAACATCATCAGTAATAATTGTGTTCAACACATATTGAATCGAGTGCATTTCTGATTGAAAACTCCAAGTGTCAATAGCACGAAGTTTTTCATCTTGATTAGATATTGTTTGTTTTGATACTCAGCACGAAAAATTTACATGGAGTACGAACTGATAATGAAGCGTTAATCAATTTTTCGCTCGTAGTAACTTTCACTTTTATAATAATAATATTATTTTTTCTAATTTGAACTCAAGCTACCATTGTTATTTTTTAAAGAATCATTTACCAGAGAAAAATTTTTATATCTAACCTGGAGACAAAACTTCAGAAATCATTTTTACGAACATCATGAAGCATAATAAATGTAAGTAAATTGCTAGACCCATGAAATAATTAATACTGAACCTATTTTCCAGCAATAGTCAACCGAGTATTGCCCTTGAATGCAAACAGATAAAACGCAAAAAAATCATGTTTCAGAGATCCACGTTACACGAGAGCATCTCGTTTGTCGCCATATTTACATAGAAACTGATTTATCAGACTCCCAAATATCGAATTATAGATACGAACATTATCTCTAAAAAATGTAATTGAAGTCCCTCGGTTGTGGATGCCGAAGTCAACAAAAATCTATTGAAATTATTATCAGCATATGAACTGATGCCGCTAGGCTTGCTCCACCATGCTAGGTTGCCCATAAACCCTAAAGCATGCGATGCCAAATATTTTTTACATTGCCTGAAAAAAATAATACCAATATTATAATAGGGCCTTCTATAACCTGTACGGCTTTGGAACAATATGGAACGTAGACAATAGTTGTTCTGTAGAATTTGCTTCAGTTTAACTGAGAATGTCAAGTAGTTTCCTACAATTATTGTCTTGAACGTAAATGCCAAGTTTCTGATCTTTATTTAAAAAGAGAATGATGCAAACTAAACGCTATATTGGAGCAATTTCCATTAACAATTTACAGTATATTCAGCAGTGGATTGTCATTTAAAATAATTTTGGCGATTTAAAATTCGCGATCAAAATCCTGAAGTTGACAAAACCGAAATCCTAAAAGGACTTCTTTAGTTTTTTACACCTTTGTTCCTGAATGTTCATATCCACGGCTCTCAACACACATAAATTCTTACGAATACCCGACGAATTTTGTAACTTGGAATAATATTTGCATTGAAAAATTGAACAACTTTAAATGCACCATGTGCATTGTAATCCTATTTCTACTGAAGAAAGGCCGCAGACGATATCTTATAGCGACGTTAACCAGGGCCTATACTTTCAAAAAAAGTTAAGAGATCGTAAGTTTATCAGCCAATCATTGACGGCCTTTTAAGCCAAATCCGCCAATCATAAACAAGAAAATAGAGCGTAAGTACTTACGTTCACTTAGCGAGTTTTGAAAGTATGGCCCCAATACTCATACGTACGAGCCCAAGGAGTTTGGAGGGCGTTGTTAACTTCGTTATTTCATTACACTTTTGTGTGTCATCCAACAAAGCTTTCTTAAATTGTACCTGCATAAATTCCAAAATCGTGAACTTAAAATTTCAACCCTGAAATTCTTAATCATTTCTCCATTTTTCTCCATTGTGTGAATACAATTAGTCGGTATTTTTTCTCACTTTAAATAAGTCCTTGATCATCACCTTTTCCTCCGACCCAAATATAGTTCTTACCAAAGTTAATAGCGAAGTTTGAGGTAGATAATTTGCTTTATTTTATAAAATTATTCAAAGTTTTCATACAACCTTAACTCTATGCATTTTTTACGTAGTATGAAAAATACTAGGACTGATTTTTTTCTTGCTTATGAATGGTCTTCTTAAAACATTTATTTACTTGATAAAGGAATATATGTGTTTTTAGTACTTCATTTGGTATGGGCGTTAATGTTAATTATTAATCGTGATAATTTCAAATTAATTCCCAATGAATTTCCATCATTCTTGATTTCGGAATTACTCGTCCAATTACGCAACTCCTCCAAAATATGTAATTTAGAAAATAAACCACCGCAATAAAAGCAATCAAAATAGTTTAATTTAAAATTTAAACTGATAATGTACCTAGGAAAGAAGAAGGAACATAAGATGGATGAATGTTATTTCGCTTTGAACGTGCCAACTGATGGAAAATTTTTTGTACGTATGAAAAAAAAAATTTTACAGTTATACACTTTTTTATCTCGATAAGAGTGGAATTTTTCTTGAACTTGATACATTTTATTTTTTCTAAACTGCATTCAAACTTCATAAAATCGACATTTTTTGTTACCGTTGAAAGATAATAATTGTAGTTACTTTTCCTGATTAGCCGATATGAAGTTAACAACGAAAACTAGTTTATTTTATATATTGTATTATCATCGGTCATCTACGTATACTATGTCTAGTGTGCACTTACAGACACTGAGACGATAATGTCGCACGAAGAACAAGGAATATGATTAATTCAGTTTGTTATTCATGATTTCTCTATCTTATGCCCTAATTCATGGAAAAATACAATACGAACGATGTTGGCTTCTAACGCTACCAAGGCGATGTGTTCAATACTAATATGTGTTCAATTCCAATTCTAATAATTTATGTTCAAATTTAGATGTCACGATATCAAAATGTTTGTCACTATAGTTCATTTTTTTCACAGATCCTCAAGCCAACTTCAACTTCGCCAACCCAACAAGAAATTAGACGATCTCATTCAAGCGGTGGCGGGAGCCCAAGTCCGGTGCCATCCAAACCTGGTTCAATCAGATCCAGCAGTCTAGGAATACCACAGAAAACCTCTTCTCATGTGCGCTTCCAAGCAGACTATCGAGCATCTTCTTCATCTAGCATAGAGAAACAATCTATACCTACGATACGTCATCCTAAAGATGGCGATAGCTCAGAATCTGAAACTGAAAATACGACAAATGATGACGATGGTCAGTTGTGCCAGAAGTTTTTATTGTTGATAGATCAGCCCTCGATCGATGTTAAGCGTCATTTGTCCATCAAAGATATCGGTGTTATATTAGATCGTCTTTCATCAAAAATTGTTGACGTTGAGAGACTGGATCGCGAGTCGGAAGAAGACGACTGTTTCAACTGGACCATCAAAGCGATGATTCGAGGTGATTCTTTGCGAGAGTTAGGCGTGCTTTATGGTGGCCATTACTATACGATTTGTGAACACCCTGCGTATACCGGCACCAATGATGAAGAGGAGGAGGAGGAAGACAAAGAGGACGAGGAGAATCCAGTGTGACACCATTCATACTTGCTCATGTTCTATACGTTTCTAAAATAATACATTTTCGCCGAGTACTGACCGGTTGCTTGATCGCTGGACGCCATGGCGTTCGTTCGACACATTTTATGTGAATATGAGTCGGCGTTTGTTGTAATTGTCTTGTGCGTGAGACAAGTTGAATGTATTTACTGCCAAAATACTTATTATTAATAGCATAGTCCTGAATCAAATGTGTAAAAAGTAATGTTTGAAAACATGTCCATAGCAAAGAACTACATCTACGCTCACCAGATAATTCTTTTGTACGTAACTTTGGTAGTGAGAACAAGTTCGTAAATTTTTTGAGAAACCCCTTGTCTGGTTGAAGTTGCCTCGCATTGAAACAATGCCAAGCTGCTCGAACTTTGAGGAAATGATATAGTCTCGTATCGAACACATTAAGTAATCAGGTTGCAAGCAAGTACAACTTCCATAACTCGAAACTTTTTACAGTTCAATGTTCGTACGCGCCTTTCCATTATCATTGTGGGCCTACGGATCAGTCCCACGTCTACGCTTGGCTCGAATTGTTGTTTAAGACAGTGTTCAGTGCTCAGTGATTTCAGTGAAAAAAGCAAATTGTGTTTAATTCGAGCTCATATATTTGTCTGATCATGGAAGCGTACGAGCAGCCATCAAAAATTATACTGCAGGCCAGACAATGTCGGAAATTGGTTTCTTGAAGCAATTCGAATACTATTTCATATATCAGGACTAGTCTGAATTTTTGGAGAAGAGTGTCAAAAGGCTCCACTCTATTTTAGATAGTGTCCTGTATTACGAACATCGAGTTACTTTGAAAGATGTCACTACGCTTATTAGTGAGGCTTATATTCGACATCTAGTTTTCAAAGCTGTACAATTTAAGCCATTACTAGAAATAGTGATTTGTGTGCCATACAAAACGCCAAACGGAAACTTGCTCATTCAAGACAATACCCAGCAAAATGAAGTAGCTCGATTATCAGCGGCCAACCGCCGGCCTTTTATGCGCCGACGATAAGCTGATCAAGATTTTCTTCAGTAGATCAGCCTCCAATTTCGTCGTGGTAAATCGTTCCTAGTTTACAGGTTCTGGTTATTTCCTATTGTCATTGTACGTTTAAGGTGTAATTATTTAGTATTTACGTCACTGATTTTTGGTGTGTGTCGACTTAAAGAGTTTGGTAGTAATGATGTTACCATTTGGTCAGTTATTCCAAAGATTTATTCAAATTATGGGTTTATTAGTGCACTGTATTGTACTACTATTGTATGAAGATTCGCTAAGTCAGGCATGAGAAGATAGCCCTCGTTATTGTTAAAAGTTGATAAGCTCATGATTTTTTAAACAAGCAGTTGATTATTGCTTCAAATCCTGGAATTACCTTCACAAGCGAAATTAAACTCCAGTTGCATTCTTCCATTTAAGATTTTTCTCCAAAAGGTAAACTTGGAAACATAAACAAACATTAGCATCGATGCAAACAAAGAAAAATTTCCTCCATCGACGTGTAGTTAAATACTAATATTTTATACTCGTTTAATATTTCGATTCAGTTTTTTTATTCGTGGTTTTCAATCGTTAAACTAAAACAATGTTCGGCTAAACCGTACGCTGAATATCAATTTTTATTTGACCGCAGCGTAACCTAGGTCATTCTTAATCTGTTTTAATAGCGCATCGTATAATATTTATAAAACTAACCAAATAAGTGTCGAAATATTTACACTTACACTGGTATAAATATTCCAGCTCAATTTTCAAAGATTGTGGTCTCATATAAATGATAATCTGAACTTAAATGAAGACGCCATGTCTTTAAATCACAGCCTAATTTTTGGAAATTATGTAGTGGATGGAGGGAATTTTTCTTGTAGAAGCTTATGGTCTGCCATGCACAGGTGAAAAACAAAAAAAAATCTTCGTAATATTTCTTGTAATTTACATATTTATTTGTCCTGACATTTTTTATCTGCGACGCTATTGATTATATTGGAGTTGTCATAGAGCGGTTGAACCAGCGCTACTGCCATGCACTGTTTTTGGGGATTTTTAACATTTAAGGCTTGCTTTGCATTCATTGCTGGTGTCTAAGTTAGACTCGTAGACTGAACATGTGCTGGTGATTTTTGTGCTTCGCCAACGGCCGACCTGATGCTCCGACATACAATTCTCTTCAATTTGTACCGTTAAGGTTATTGCACCTTTGTCCCAAAAAATAATCAATATCTCTTTGACGCTAGCTGCACTTGTGACTGACTTGGATACACCTACAAGTTGAAAATCCAGTTGGAAATTTTACAAAAATTAGTTTCGATTATAATGGCTGTTTTGAAAAAACCATCACTTTTCTCCATGGGCTAGACAAATTGATATACTTTTATGTCGGAGTTTTGCGCTGGTGCTCATTTTGCTTCCATTTACTGGCCAAGTGATGGTATATGATTATGTATTATTCTTAGATGTAAGGAATAATGATTTGGCCCAAAGAATTAGTCTTTTTTTGTTTAGAAGGGTGACTGAAATGTTTTATCGTGTTCCCCGAGAGGTAGAATGCTTGTTGCGATGGGTTGCTCTATACTGCAACTGAATGATGTTGACAAAGAGGCTATATCAAATACTCTAATAACTAAACGTTAAGGTGGAAGCTAAGATTTTATTATTCTATTATACTGTAGCATCTTCTTGATTTTGCGTTTATTTAGTTTGGTTCATTTTGGCATTTATTAATGTTCTACAAGAACCATTTTTATGCGAGAAATTCATGAGCCCTGTAATAAGTATAGCTGATTTTAATTTAGATACAATCTATTTGATGAGTAATTAACGGATGAAACCAAAAGTACGAGTTGAAACTTATTAATCCAGATGCTATTTCGGTTGAAATACTTATTTTTTTGCTGGAATTTAGAATTATTTAATTCGAAAAGAAGAAGATCTCACTATTAGCCATTGATGCTCGAAATAAAAAACTTTTACAACCATCTTCAATTAAAAAATTGCAAGACTATTTCTAATTATTTTTAAATAGCAAAGCACATTGTTCCTGCGAATCATCAAATTCCTGTCAAATGTACTTTATGATTAAAAAATCCTGTTTAATTATAAATATATTTAAGATTTTTAGTTGACCATCAGTCGTGGATTAAATCTGCTTCCAATTTTCAAGACAAAAACAAAAGCTCCATATAAGCAATTGATATTCATGAATCATGATGAAGACGTCAGCTGGATATACCTATACCGGCAGGTTATATATTTCGAACTTTATGTGTGAGGTTTATGTTTTGCTTGATGAACGATCAAAAATTTTTAAGAAAGCATTATAAAACGAACCGAAAATATTTTGATTGACTGCTCTTCTATGCCAAAACTTGTTGACTAGTGACGTAGAAATCCCTAATTTAGGCCTACCCGGTCTATTAATTAATAATTTATGCTAAGAGATTTCGATTTGCCAAAAAGCCTACAGCTTGGTCTTAAAATTTTGCACGTTCTTCCATGGGCTTTCAGTATCATAATGATCTCAAAGTCGTTTAATGCTTAATGGATAACAATTAGTCAATTCGCGGGAGTTTCCTATCGAATTGCTGTCCAGCTCACAGACAAAAGCTACGTTGTTGAACGAGCTTTTCTGCAACTTTTAGTATAATTCATTCATACTTCATTTTAGATCACTAACTGCAGTAGATGCTAACCGCAATTAGAAACAGAGAAAATTTTATATATGTTAAATGAGATCAAAATGGACCCTTTTCTACTCAAGTAGCATTCAACAGACTCTAAATCTAGTCTTGGTTTTCCTTAACAGAAATTTCATTCCATAACATTGAAATACTCCAGATTTGTTTTAAAACTATTGGTGGCCAAGATTGTTGGAGGAAAAGCTAAAAAATCTATTAAAATTGCATGAGATTTGGAAGTTTCATCCCCAATTGTCAGTGCATTGCAGCTTTGAGACACAGACCTTTTGCCGCTCTCCTGAGGCTTTTTGGCAATCGCTTGATCCACGCTTCGATCTGACATTTTTGATTACACTGCGCGACGACAGTTGCGGCCACACCAGATGTAAAATTATTTCTCGTCATGCCGGGTAGGAAAGCTTGTCTGGTACGCACACAGTGAAAGCAGGTTGCCAGCGTGCTGGTTACCTGCTCAGGCTGGCGCCTGAAACCATAGAATACAGAAGCCTATTCGTACAGGTTTTCACTGTGAACACTTACATTATTATCCTATGTTCATTCTTGTGGCAGGTTGGAGCAGGTTGCCCGCGCAGGCAAACCTGCTTTCACTGTGTGCGCACCCTTACGCCGAGTACAGGAAGAAAATTTCAGCATATACCGAGTAAGAAGCGGCCGGCCGTAACCCCGGTTAGAAAATATAACCTTGCCCTGGACTACACTGTACCGAATAAGAAAGTGTCTGCGTTGCAGAGTAGCTACACTCCATTTCGTATTATTGGTGTAAAATCGCTGCCCACTCACTGGGAGAATATTTATCCTATAATATGAAGTGCCATTATTATTCCTTAAAATTTTTGAGTGCTCCGTTGCTTTTTTTCTGGACAACGGATGCTGCGGTTATCAACCAACAGTTGTACATCAAAACGAATATTTACCTATAATAATATATCGACATACTTTACGCTATTCGGAATGAGTTTTATGAACATGTGCTGCGTTAAATAACTAAAAATATTTCATTAATAATAATAATATTCGGTACCTCAGTTGTCGGTGCACTGCTAATCAAAAAAGTCGGATCGGAGGATGAATTTGTTCTATCAATATACGGGTCAGAACGCACAAGAATAGGACATGTTTCCGTTCCAATGCCTAGAGCATGTAAAGAGGAGGATAGGTTTCCGTTCCAATGCCTAGAGCATGTGAAGAGGAGGATAGGTTTCCGTTCCAATGCCTAGAGCATGTGAAGAGGAGGATAGGTTTCCGTTCCAATGCCTAGAGCATGTGAAAAGGAAGATAGGTTTCCGTTCCAATGCCTAGAGCATGTGAAAAGGAAGATAGGTTTCCGTTCCAATGCCTAGAGCATGTGAAGAGAAGGATAGGTTTCTATTCCAATGCCTATAGCATGTGAAAAGGAAGATAGGTTTCCGTTCCAATGCCTAGAGCATGTGAAAAGGAAGATAGGTTTCCGTTCCAATGCCTAGAGCACGTGAAGAGGATAGGTTTGCGTTCAAATGCCTAGAAAATGTAAAAAATTCTTTTCTGTTCTCAAAACTTCAAAACGCCGATGTCTTTCTAGGAATTTTTTCCCTGTTTACTATCGGTGTCATACCTTCATTGCCGTGAAAACTTATGCTGTTCATATTTTTCTCTCAGGAACGTCGTGGAACATTGTTCTAAAATAACTTTCTCTTCCAATCTCTTGTTTATATATCAAAAGATAAAGTTACTTTTTAATTTAGTTTTTATCGGGTATTAACGAGGAACAGCATTAACATCTGCCTGATATTCTAGTAAGTTTTGAAATAATTCTTTTTGCTTTCAATAATTTTTATAAATTGTCGTATATCAAGTCATGAATCATGTGAAAAAATTGTATCTATATCTAACTTATATATCTGACTGCCCTACAACTTTTCATAACAATAATGTTTTCTTCTTCAGTTGTCGTGGCTTCTCACAAAACACATGTTGTTCTTCAACGGGTCGAATTCTTCAAGTTCAATTTTAAATTAAAATAATTTAATTAATTTCTTATAACGTGTCATAAAATTAACTTAATTCCCATTAACAAACAACGTCGAAGCAAAAAAATTATTCCTGCTGTACAATTTTTCCCTCTGCGTTTTCTTATTATTTGCTTCAATTTCTTTTTGTAGAACTTATTTCAGTGTTTTTACTTATATCTCATGTCAGTTAATTTATCTCACTGTTAAACTTTAGGTACTGGCGGAGTATATTTAACTCCAACTTCTAACTATGCATTACGTACTGCTAAAAAATTTCTTACTTGGGATAAAGTATATATAATCAGATGTGGATCAACTTGACAATTAGATTCCCGGTGGCCACTGATGATACATATTTTAGAGCGCTTCACGAAAAAAAACGTGATTAGAAATCCATTTAAAATAATAAAATATAATAAATTTATTCCTCTTCATTTGTTGGTCACCAGTAACCTAAAATTAAATTCAATGCAAATCAGCAAAGAACAATTTAACCGAAGTAAAAACCTTTCATATTACGTCAACACAGACATTGTTGTTTACAGATGATTTATCTAATATATTAAGTTGGGTAAATGTTGTGAGTAATTTGACTAACCCACTCAAGAGATTTTGGATAACTCTTCTAAGAGTCGATTTCACTATTCCTATGCACATCAAACTTTATCGGTATCAGAACTTATCCGACTAGGGCACAGGGTGATTCGTGAAAACTTTCCGTTTTGTATTTCATGCCTATCAGCCCTATGGTTAGTAAAAAGGCGGAGATTATTTCTTATTAAAGGCAAGATCATGAGTTTTTGTGACGTGTTTAGTCAGTTGCCACTGTGCATCGGAC